CACATAACAAGGGCAAGCAGATCCTGGAACACATTCACCATTGTCATTCTGATAAAAGCCCTTCTTACATATGCAGCCAGGTAATGGATCGAAATGAACGTTGCAAGTAGCATCATTGTCATTCAAAGAGCGGCAAGTGGGCTTACATGAGGTTATTGTGTAGCTATAAATCTGATTTTTTGGACATGTTGGTATATCTGAGAAGTAAAAGGGATTTGAAAAGACTTTGTTAATATGATCATTGTGAATAAAATTGTAAAGGAAACAAGTTTTCAGAAACAATACTGTGTAGGTTTCGGCATCTGCAAGACCAGATATGTCAAAATACATTTGTAATACCAGAATCCAGATGCACTTATCGTAATAAAGGAATATATTTATATGTGTTGATATAATGAGGACCATTTCAACATATTTAAAACATTAAGTCAAAGACTGTATGAGCAAGTGTCGATGGGTGTTTGTTCACATTAGAAATGCTTTTCTCCAAACACAGGTCTATGGGATTGCATAAAGCAGCTTAAAGCAGGTCAAATGCAGGTCAGAAAAAGGTAAACTACAAGTCAAACGCACCTGTCAATAAATTGTGAATTTTCAGAAAAGTCTTAAACTGAAGTCAAAAGCAAGATGCATTTTGAATAATAGTGTTCGATATAGATAGATAGATAGATAGATAGATAGATAGATAGATAGATAGATAGATAGATAGATAGATAGATAGATAGATAGATAGATAGATTTAGGTAGACACTAAATAAAGCACTTCCATTTTTGTGTGTTGAGCACCACACATCTACATTAGCATCTACATTGGAAAAAGTGCTTTCTGTTTCTTTCTGTTCAAAGTATTGGTGGAGTGTCTCTCTGGCCCACACTGATCAGTCTTAAGAAAAATTAACTGCTGCAGGAGCCCTGCCCTTATGGACAGGCACAATTACCAGACTATCATCTGATCAGAAGTGAGTGGGACACTGTCATGGTCTTGCTGAGAGGGACAGATTGCTAAAACACAAGTTGGTAGAGTAGTTTTCTTAATGCAGCATGAATATTATTTATAGAAATAGGTACATAAAAGGAGATTGGTCTAACAGAAAAGGTATCTACAGGCACATTGTGGTAGTTGCTTTTATTATCTGTTTTAAAGTTAAAACCATTGCATGTTTCTTTTAAATTAACTTCTTCCTAAGCCATAAATTAAGCCCTTAGTCTCAGTTTTTTTTTATTGCATTTTTGAAAGTACATATAAAGTGCACTTACTGCAATGAGAGACTTTCCAATTGCTTAGAAAAACTCCTTTTGCAGCACAAATCTTAACATATGAAGCGATTGCGGCACACATACAATTTTCAAGCTTTGAACAGCTGCAGGTGTCTGTGATACAGTTCTAAAAACAAATGAAAGAGGTTATCTTATGTCAGCAGATATATATAAATATATATACATATATACATTGTCTCTAGATCTAGCAGATATTAAATGCCACTAATTCTGATGTTTAAACTGTGATAAAAGATGTCACAGGTATGTGTCACCATGTTAAACACTATTTTGCTGGAGACTGAAATACCCAGGAGTAGCCATAAAATTTTCAAGTTTTAGAAATTATGCAATGTATACCAAAAGCTGAATCTGCAGTTCATCTGATTTGATTCACTTGAATGTCTACCACCATTATACCTAATGTTTTGTACAAGAATAAGTGACTACTACTAGTTACCCACAAAATATAAACAAACTGTTCCATGAATTATTAATAAAACTGTTAAAATCTTTAACCTCACCAAGTTTATTAGAAACTAATGTGTCCAAAGAAAGAATGTATTTGGTTTCCTTTTTTAATTTCTCTTTTTTTGGTTAAAACACCTCCAATAATTATAAACCTGTCAATTTTCCCAACATACAGAAATTGTGCTGGCATCATTTTGGCACAGGCAGATTGGTCTTGAGTACGGAGGATATTGGAGAGGTATGTAAACAAGGGGTAAAGAGACATTGTCATTGCCCTTGCCACTGCACAAGAGTCCACCCTGTATAATCCCTGGTGAGGGTGGTATTGAAACTTACACGGGTGGATAACATTACAGCTCCCCGTTCCCGTAACAGTATTTGTGCCTGGCAAATTAGATATTGCCACATAGGGGAGATAAGATACTCACCCATATCAAGTGGAACATATAAAGAGAGCGAGCGAGCTCCAAAAGAGCAGGAAGATGGTGAAGGAGGACGGTGAGTATACGTTGTTGGGGAGTTTGGCTATCAGGAGATACTGCCACTTTGCTCTGAATGGTGAAAGCGGCAGTGTCTCTTTAAAGCTGATATCTGGACTCTTCCTCCTTCCCAGCCCTCTAACTAATTGCTGCTAAAAAAAAAAATCTAAATGCCCCCATCTGTAAGCAGGTGTGTCTAACAGGGATAGTTGGCAATGTAGCAAAAAGGAGCTTATGATCAAACCATGACATTGTATGAATATTAACTCTCCACACCAGGGGCAGTTGCTAGAGTAGTATAAAGATGTGGTCAATCCTGTAAAAAGCTGTGGTAAGAATGAGAATAATAAGTAAAGTCTTTGGTCTGAGCGTTTACTGCTTGTCAGATGTCCACAAGATTTAAAGTTAGGAGGAAAGGGTGAATTTGGGATTCTGGGAAATGTTCAGAGCTAAATTGCAGCCACCCAACAACAGCAAAGTTCTCTTTTATGTAGGGTGTTTACTTTTAGGAGATTAGACAAGAACCTGGTCTGGAATCGGTTTAGGTGACTAATGTCAATTCATTTGTATGCTTTGAGGGCCCCCTAACCTTATCTTGATTTTCACTAATGTTTCAAATAATTTGGGCATAATAACTATGCCCAAACTAATAGTAATTATGCTAATAATTATGCAAGGATTTCCTTCCAAATGACAGCTAGCATTCATAAGCAAAATCTGAATAACTGGTTTAACACTTTGAGTCAGGGACCTAAAATAAGAATGTAGATACGGTCCTATGACATTTACATGACTTTTATGATCTGCATGCATATTCAAAGTCAGTGATTACTAAAGCCAAGGGACCAGAATAACAGAAAAGGCAAGTAGTATTTTCAGAAGAAGCTCAGCAAAAAAAAAGTTCAGACATACGTTTTACCTGTTTGTATGCTAGTGGGTCCACTATACCATGACATGGGCTGAAATTTCCACTTGTATCAGCAATCTTTCCACACCAAAAGTTTGCATACTCAGCTAGATGGAGAAATATTATGCACATTATTACAAATTTTACAAAGGATATATTTGCCTTTAGAAAACAATTGGTATGAAATGTATTAAGGCATAACTACAGCCAAAACTTTATTTTTTTAGAGCAGGGAATAGTGAGAGCCTCTGTCAGGTTTTGTTTTTTGTTTTGTTTTTTTCTGTGGCTCTGTTGGGGAGATTTTTCCTCCCCTTCCTGTTAGGACATCTCTCTAACATGGACACAGACAAAAAAAAAAACACATTTAGCATGAGGAAGGGTTAAAACTTCTGACAGGTGTCAACTGGACAGGAAGTGAGGGAAAATCTCCTCATTGGGGTCCCAGACAGAAACAAAAACTTGATACTCTATCAAATACAAATTATTATTTTGAAATAATGTTAGATTTGCAACTGGGATAGTTAGCCAGGTTGTGGTGGGGCAAACCAAGAGAAACCAAACATCCTTCCTTTACACCACTGCAAAAATACAGTATACCTTCATATTGTAGGAGATAGGGATGTCCCCATACCACTTTTTCAAGACCAAGCTCAAATACAAGTACTTGCCCTCAGGTACTTGCCGATACCAATTATCGATACTTTGGTCTTAAAGGGACATGTGACATTTTTTCTAAAACAATACAGACTAATTATTTTAGGGCAGTTTCTCACCAGGCTGTGTACAGATCCCACTCGGCTGCGTCTAGATCCCACAAGGCTGAGTCCAGATCTCACCAGTTTGCGTCCAGATCTCACCAGAGCTGAATAGCGATCTCACCAGAGCTAAATACAGATCTCACGAGGCTGCGTTCAGAATCTGGACACAGCCTGGTGACATCTGGACCCCGGATCCCACCAGGCTGCATACAAATCTCACCAAAGCTGCGTACAAATCTCACCAGGCTGCAAACAGAATCTGTATGCAGCCTGGTGAGATCTGTACGCAGCCTGGTGAGATCTGTACACAGCATGGTGAGATCTGTACACAGCATGGTGAGATCTGTACGCAGCCTGGTGGGATCTGGACTACATATGTCACCAGGCTGTGTACAGATGTCACCAGGATGCGTCCAGATCTCACCGGACTGCGTCCAGATCTGACCAGAGTGCATACAGATCTCACCAGGCTGCATACATATCCCAACAGGCTGCGTCCAGATGTCCCCAGGCTGCGCCCAGATGTCATCAGGGCTGCCAATGAGTCTCTGCAGGGCTGCGTATAGATGTCACCAGGGCTGCATATTGCGTCTCTCCATGTTGACAGGTGGTGTGCTGAGCCCGCTCTGATCCCACTCTCGTAGTGAGCTGAACGGAGTGAGTGCCAGTTTCTCACGTGAACTTCACTTGTTTGGGATCACAACTGCAGAGGGGTATTTATGCAAAAAGGCTACTCAGGGTTGGGTCTCAGGTGTCACTCGCAATCTGAAGGGCGAGTTTGAGACTCAGTCATCACAGCCAAAGTAAAAGGTATGGTATCAAACAACGGTTATTAATTCATAACCTGAGTACTGACAAAAAGACACTAACTAAATGATAACTGAAGGTTGGTAAAGGAATCCCAGGATGTGGTTACCACCTAACATAGACAGTCCATTCAACAGTGAGGATTTGTATGGCAGTGAGATGTGCTCAAATAGGAGCAGTACTTGCAGTTAGTGACCAGGTGGTTGCAGCGAAGAGTTTGCAGAGCAGAGGGCATCCAATGCACAGCGGGGTGGCAGCAGGTCCAAGGGCTTCTTTGGTACAGGTAGCAGGTTCAGGAGGCAACAGGCGTTCTAACCTCACTTTCGGAACGCCATGTTGCCTCTCTGACGCTCTTAAATAGTGCCTGGGCGAGGGGAGGAGCCGCGGTTCGTATTGCACGAATTCCGCGTTCCAGCGTGGAACGCAGCCGCCGCATCACGAGTAACCCCGAGCGGCTTCCGCATTCCACAGTGGAACGCATGGAAGTCGCCGCTGACACAGGGGAACGCATTCCGGCGGCGTTACAGTCTCGTGCCTGCTCTGAGGCTGTATTCATGGTGTGGGGCTGCCTTGAGCAGTGCCTGCACTAGAAATCAGGAGGAGGAGACATGGTACCTGGCAGGCAGTGTCAGAACAGCTACTGCCAGGTCCTTTAGAAGGCTGCTTCGGGACCCCACAAGCATGGGATCTGAGGCGGCTGATCTGATTAACAGATAGCAAACAGCTAGCTTTACATGCACATGACATGTGCAGAAGTTTGAAAATGAAATCTTGGATGCATACAGGGAGCACAGTCTCTAATGCTGGTCCATGCATTTCCTCAGTTCAGCAGTCCACCCTGGTCCTTTTTTTCAGTAGTCTCGTGATCTAGGAACCCCTGCTTGAAATGCGGCAAGCAGTCCAGGCTTCTTGTTATCTTGTTATCTCACACATAGAGGCTGCTTTACTAAAGGAAATGAGAATCTATACACAATAACATGCGCATGATTGGATAATTAAAGAAGAACTATGAGGTGAGTAAAAATCACTCACCCTCATAGTTCGAGCCGACGCGTGACAATGAAACTGTCACACGTTGGCTCTACAGATTGGGAAGTGAGTGAACACATACTGTCGCTCGCTCACTTCTCGATCATCTCCCTGCAGAGAGCCGTGACTGTCAGTCACGGCTCCCTGCAGGGATTCCCCCCTCCCTGCTCTGATCCTCCAGCGCTGACTGGAGGAATGGACGGGGAGGGGGCTGGCACAGCTGGCTCTGCCTCTAGATAGGCAGAGCCAGCTGTCACTCATGCAGCTGGGTGGTTTGCAACAGTAAGGTTATGCTCTGTCCCAGCTGCAGCAGTCTCAGTATACCACGAGCAGTAGCTCACAATATACTGAGCTTTGGGTAACAGGAGGACACTAGTATATGTCCTCCCGTGACCCTTAAGAGAACTATGGGGAAAAACAATTACCCCATAGTTTTCTTTTAAAGTGAATATTCACACAATTCTTCACTTCTTTAATAAATTAACCCAATACAGACAAGACCTCATTAATATAAACCAATGTCTTCAAACGGTGTTCCAACAAGATCAAACAAATATAAAACAGCTCTATGCATGTTTCATACCAGCCTGTATACTTGGGCAATAGGAGCATACACATACTGTAGTTTTAAAACCATGTTGTCTGTCTGGTTAATATCTCTTTAAAAGAGTTTGAACAAACGTGAATTATCACATCTTTTATATGGTATGTAATGCAACAAAATATATATGTGTGTATCTATCTCTCATACACCTTTCAAAATTGTATATAAATGACACCTACCACTCTCGATATTAATAGCACAGGGGTCATCAAAGATATGATTAATATTTGGACACAATGCGGATACTTTCCATGTGTTAACAAAAGCAGCAGGCGTGCCCTCAATCACTCCACTGATAGTCTTCAAGTCATCTCTCTGGTTGCTATTAAAATTTCCACAAAGCCCTGAAAAACAAGACCTATGTTACAATAACTGGCAGTGCACTACTCTACATTGATCATGGATGTAAGAATGTAGGTGTATGGGCAATTTAGTGATATCTCTAAACACCGAACAAATCATATATGATACAAAATCATGATTCTTTATATATACCAGAGAAAATAAACCAGTGATAAAAATACCACTTGCGTTGAACTGTTAACTGCCACCAATAATTTTTTTCACAAAATTCAAAGATTTCAATTAAGGTCGCTTTTTTAGGTCCTGACATCAATGAATCTAGGAAAATAAATAAATAAAACTAAATATGGTTTCTAAGTACGGTTTATAAAATGCACACGGAAGAACTAAGCAGAAAGTAATTTTTCATTTTGTAGAAGTGCTAATAAACAGCATATTGTATTGTGGTCTCTAAGCAACTTATGGTTGTACTTCCGTCCACCACAATCATTGATGCTCAGGGCCTGCTGTCCATAAATGATCTATAAAGGATTCCAGAACTTCCACAACAGATTCAATGAACCCGTTGGCAGCATGGTATGAAAAGCAGGCAAGATGGAGTATTGATAGGGATGAAAGCTAAGCAGTTAAGGATGATTATTGTAATGTTATATAGAGTTAATATTTTGTTTTATAGAGGAACCAAAAGCCAGTGTTAAAATTCACTTTAACCAGAAGTAAGGGAGAAGTTTAGAAGTGCTATCCTTTTTTAGTTATTGGCTAATGTACTTTTAAAGATTGTCACTAATTTTGTTCCTTATTTTCACATTGCCATCTATTCTAAGCAATAGGCACCATCTGTAGTGTCTGTAATGCTGGTTTAAAGAAACAGATAAAAAGGTAAGAAATATATATATATTTATTTTTTATTTTTTAGGTATGCTGTGTGAATTAAACCACAAAACACAAAACAAACATATGATGGGGGTGACTCGTATTAAACTGCAAAAGTGGAAATACACGTAAGGAACCTTAATTCTTAAGTTCTTAATTCCATGACATTAGAATGAAAACTGTTCAAATCTTGGCAGAATTTTTACAATGTCCATGAATGTTCATGGACATTATTACTCTGGTGGTACCACATGACAGTAATAACTAGACTACCAGAAGGGTTGTGTGTTGAAAATCCAGGGTTTCTAAACTTTGGTGTTTAAAAAAATATGACATATGACTAAGGTCTTGCGATGGTTGTAAAGTGTATGGCCACCTTAAGTCGGAGAAGCTTGAGAAAGGTCAAGGAATTTGTCTAGTTTTACAACTGACATATCTTTATGGCTTTCAATGTATGATCAATGTTTGCATGATAATGCTGAGATAGACAGATCAAGATTTACTATGAATAAGTTAAAGAAGAATCTTAGGAATGTAATGAAACTTGTGAACATTTTTTATTGCTATGATCATAGATGTACCTACACAGAATGTAGTTTGTGTTGTTAACCAGACAGTGTCTGAAGGAAAAATGCAGGAGGAATTGTCTCAGGGAGATTTTAATTGTGCAAATTGTGAAATTTGGGGTAATTACATTGAGGATCTTGTAGAAAAAATTGAATTGAGAACGCAATTGTTCACAAAATTGCAAAACCATATGACATAGATAGCTACGTTCTCAAAGAAAAATTATGATAAAAAAGGTGAATCTTCAAAACCAGATTCTGTGTGAGAACCTTATATTCCCGAATCTTCTTTATTGCAAAAAGAGGAATATAAAAATATAACTGAGATTAGAAAAAACAAATATTAGATTGTGCTTCAAAGTTGAAATTGCAGATCCATGATCAGTTAATGAAAATTTTGAAGGACATCTCAGCATATGATCCAAGGACTGATGCATTCCAGGATGCATTCGTTTTTGAATCATGCACAGACAGATTTAATCTGACAGATGAGCAAATAAAGTGTATTTATGTTTTATGGTTGCCAAACTATATTTCACGTCGCTTAGGGAAGTCTCCATATATTAATGAGGAAGGCATGGAAACACATAGTGGTGTTTCAGATAGATTGACTAAATTGCTGTTATGCATGATTGACGAAGAGACTCCCAGTCTGGACATACTGGAATCATTGAAAGTTACAATCAATGATGATCCATATGACTTTAGGATTACATTTGCAAAAGCCTACCATGTGAACTTCTGAAGAAAACATTGCAATAGTAAAAGCTTTTGTAAAAAAAAAAACCCAAATATCTTGATTTAGCTATAGCTCTGAAAAAAGAATATCTCGACTCAGCTGGATAGGATCAGAAGACAATTAAAACAGACTAATCCAAGTTCTAGGATAGCAGTCATTCAAAATGACATGCCCAGTCCCAGCAAGACTGACAGGTCACATCGAGTGAAACAAAGAGAACCACTTTCTATTACAGATTACTAATAAATTGGTAGTATCTGTGTGGCAGATTTGATTGCAGCAGACCATAGATGGCCAGATATGGGAGACAATCTCAAATTGACAACATTGGTGCAATCATATAAAAATCTTTGGAGCCCTTCTTACAATTCCTACGTAATCACTAAGTAATCACTCATATAAAAAAACTGATTCCCTCCCCTACCCAACTCCTGTCCACGTCTATAATTGACAAGATCGTATTTGTTACCAAGATATCTATTTCAGCCATTTACTCTCATCTGAGACATGTCTTTCTTCCCTCATTGGATTTTTCCAATCTATTGTAACGATCCGACGGGTTATGACAGTGGATCTCAGCTACGGAGGTTAATTACAGTATATACCAGGGTTAGATTAGACTCAGCCCGAGGGTTCACGGTTGCACTCTGTATGGTTGGAGTGATGGTGGAACCCTCTATAACATCATATGCCAATCTTTGTATAAGTGCAGGTAATCATAACTCTGAAGTATATATATACAAAGGATATGGTTCGGATCTATCAAGTTAGGTTAGCAGTTATGTTACACAACTATATGAACGAGATTCACTTTTATGCAATGGTAATGATCCAATTAGGAGCTGAATTGTTGCCGTACCTCTAACTCTCCACATACAGTTACTCAATCTAGAATGGCAGTAGTGTGGCACAATCCCCTTGAAGTGCTGTATTACACAGAGAGATAGTTTGAATCAGGCAGGTTTTACTTGCGATTAGGAGGGTTGACTTCCACTGGATGTAACCAGATCAGAGGCACAGCAAGAGTCCAGGAATGAAGGAGTAAATCCGGCAGGACCGTTTGTCCAGCACAAGAAAGGTACTTCCGATTTGTTCCACGAGGTTGTCTCTGAGGAGGAAGGTCCTTGTAGGGGTGTTTCGCTGGCGAGTTGCAATGGCTCGGCGTTAGCAATACTAGAACGCCGAGGTAGTGCAACTCGTGTTCTTAAAAGGGGATCGGACTGTTGAGGTGGGCGGAGTCACGAGCGGCGGCCGCGGCCGCGTCTCCTAGTGACGTCATGCCGCTGTATCGAGGGGCCGGCCCGCGGCCCGAAATGTCTGATACGAGAGGTACCGTTACATCTATCCAAATGACATAATGACATTCCCTCAGATGGTTTAGTTGAGAAGATACTCATGGGCTACCGCTCAATTTGCAAAGTCATCAGTAATGAACAATGGAG